ACTACTACCTATATATATATTTTTTTTTTTTTTTTTTCTTTTAATTTGTGGCGTATTGTTGCTACGGTTATTGCCGCGTGTGTTTGCCGCGTTCGACAAATATATCCTTTCCTATGTTAACATTGCGAGCGAGTCTTCTCTTAGAGCATTTAATTAAAGTGCCGAATTAAATCAGGTTACACGATAATGTACGATTCAATAATCAATACGAATTACGTAAATCACCTTTCCTGCGTGGCACATGTAACGCACACGAGCACGGTACACGCAACACAATCCTATAATTTTGCGAATAGTAATGAGAGGAATTGACACTCGAATTTCCATGAAACAATTGATATGCGTTTCGATGCATCGCTAGCGCATCCGTATCCGCCAACATACACCATTGCCATTACCACTTCAATCCATTTTAGTCGAATTCATTAATCGTTACAATATGCATTAGACCTCGTGCTGTGCAAGCGTTTTAAACGTTTTCGCATTAAATTTATTTCCGTATTAAATTTCACCCACGCGTCGCGAATATAAAAAAGCTATTTCAATGCGTTTAAGCAAAAATGGAACGTTTTACAGTTACAGAACGCTTCAGCTGCAGAAAGAAACTTAAACTTTATGAACAGTTTTTAGCGGAAAGTCGACATATTTGAAAAAAATATATTGTATAGACACGAGAAAATTTGTTCCCGTCTTTCTATCTATTTTTCGTCTACCTTTCATATCTCAAGTATACAAGTATGTATATCGATTACATAAATGACATGACAAGTCTAAAAATGTCCCTACCACATGGTGTTAGGTGACAGAAATGAAGTATTAGGTTTTAGGTTCTCCAATGGTTTTAGGTTCAGGTAAAGATATTTATTCGTTCGCTTTCCTTTTTGAATTAACATTTCAAAGTTATGGTTGTCAACATGGCTGGTGAAACTTTTCAGCTGTCATAAAATTGTCATTATAAAAACCTAGTTTTTCAGGAAAGAAAGTAGAAAATGGAAAATTTACAGATTAGCATTTTGTATCTTCGAAGATCCTTATTTATCACAGGCAATCACGAATCTATTCTATGCCGCTTAATATCCGTCACGTGGTGTTTACGGATACGCTTAAGAAAAATGGTAGGAAAACCTTTTACAATCTATATCCGTTCGGGCATCTTTTTATTGCGAATAGAGCTTTATAACGCGCCTCGATGACGTTAGCGTACATTGGATCTCAAGCGTGAGTGCATCGTCGTAAACGCACGAACAAAGGCTGCGTTTAAGTGCATAAGGCGATGGTTATACTGCTTCACGCTCTACTTGCTCGTATATTATATTGTTCGATACTTTATTGCTCTACGCACCAGGATCGAATGATGAAATAAAATGTTCGCCTCATATGCGAGAAGTAGTGCCGCCTTGTTTCTCTCCGTCTGAGTTTTAGTTTTATTTAACAAATGAAAATTTTCCAAGGAGCTGAATGTATTCTGTGCGAAAAGAAAGGATCAATATCGGCTTTTATCAAAAAGATTTCCGATTTCAAATTACGCGTCGTCTCTACGCAGAATGACAAATTATCCTAAATTTGAAAGCGGGCGATGAAAAACGATCAGCGTCAATTTGACGATTACGAACATTCGAACGACTCTCCCGCAGGGAGAGATTTTTTTCGATCGTATCGCGCATTCGCGCGCCGCGTATCGTGGGATCGTGCAGGTGCCGAGCGTTACACAGTGGCATCCATACCTCTTTAACAATGCCACAATGCCAACGAAACATCGGAGGTATAACAGTATTAGAGTGCGGAATACACGAAGGAACTCCCTTAGCGGCTCGTGGTGGGAGTTGCAAGAGGGCACCTCGCGCCAGTTGACACGTCGTTGGCCGGGTCGCTCGCACCCGGCAAAAGTGTCGGCGTAGCGCGAACCGACAACGACCACCGTGTCGCTACGGCCGCCGCCGCCACCGCCACCGCCACCGCCACCGCCACCGCCACCGCTGCCGCCGCCGCCGCCGTCGCCGCCACCGTCGCCGTCGCCGTCACCTTTGCGTTCGCCTCTTTCGCCCGCATTGGTTAGTCGTCACCGCTCGTGGTGTTTCGTGTCGTTCCGCGCGTCGTAGCCCGTAGTCGCGATACACCGAGTCCGGTCGTCGAGGAGGGGGCACCCTACGACGATGTTGTCGCGGAGTCGCGAAGAAGGGGAGATGCTCCCCGGGGGAGCACGAATCTGCGGTGTACGAGTAGGGGAAGTCAGCTGAACGCGATGGTGGTGGTGGTGGTGGTGATGGTGCTGGTGGTGGTGGTGGTGGTGCGGTGAGGGTCGAGCGACGAGAAGGGCAACCGCGCTCCACGTCGGCCGCTCCGAGCGGTTTAGTCGTGAGTCGAGTCTCACCGTGTCAACGTGTGAGGATTTATCACACACGTTCGCTGTACAACTGTAACGCGAGTAGTTTTCTTTCTTTTTTCTTGTTTTCGACGGCGAGACGTCTAGACGGACGCCGATGGTCACACGGGGTGCTACGCTATTCTTTTTCCCTTCCTCCCTCCCCCCAGTCCAGTTTGGTGCTTTTGTGAAAGAGGGTGCGTGAAATCGCGCGCACGAATAAGTGCCGCTCGTCCAGCCGAACGGCCAGCCTGGTGCATGGCTTCGCGTCCGAGAATGATACCGTTGTTTTACCGCTGTGACGGATATAAGGGGGAAAAAGTGCTGTGACGGATCGCGCATTTGGATAGCGATCGATGAGCCGACAAGTGTGATATAGAAAAGTGGTGCTTTCGTCGAATATAGAACCGACGGCGCGAGCGAGGATCTCTCGACCGCGAAAGATGCTGACGTCCAGCGCGAATCAGTATCTCCGTCCTGATCATTACCTCACGCCGCTGCCTACTACGGTTAGTTCTCTCTACATTAGCCGCTCTTTCTCCTCTCTTTCCTGCGCGTCGCTATGCTATTTACGGAGTCCATTATTCATATACCCTCCATTCCTGTTTGTACGAGTCGCGAGTTAACGATTTGTCGAGATACGTATCTCTCTCAACGTTTAAAGTCTTCGCGTTTAACGAGCGATATTTCCTACTTGTTGTTTGCATTCCGACGCGCGCGGTAAAATAACAACGTATGTGCTTAAAAAACATTGCGCTTTTATATCCGCTTACACGTTCCGAGAAAAAAAATGTGTGATCTTACTCATTCAAAATGAGTAAACCCGATTCTATACGAATAATTAAATTTTCACATGTAAATAAACATATGACGAAGAGATTGCGCGAAAAATAAGCAACAATATTTCATTTTCTCATAAATATGTATCGATAATTCGAAAATTGGAAGAATGGATAAAAGAGAATTAATTTTATTCTAATATGTATTAAATATTACCTGAGTGAGTGTACGATACGTACGTTTGTATCATTACGTACATACATACATACGTTTGTATTGTTAATGCCAAAGCGAAATGCTCGAAATGTCGCGTACGAGTCCCATTTGAAAATATCTTTCCTAGCGGCTCATTAACGTCGCCTGTCGTCGTTTCGTTAATCCCGACGGAAACATGCGCGCCGCGTTTTATGCTCCGAACTCCTGTAAACTATTTTGGGGACAGCGAGTGTGTGTTGGCAAAGTCACGGCGTGCGTCGCGCTGATTTACGCGCATCATAAATCAAAGTGAGATTCGGTAATACAATGCTGATTGTTGCGCGCAGGGAGAATGAGATGAAAAAACGAGTGGATCGAAGCGTTCGATCGATTTTTTTCGATATAGACGATATATCGATCGTTGACGCTGTTCTCTATATATTCAGCGGCCCAAAATCTCTCTCTGTAATATTTAAGAGATGTAAAATGTCTCGTACGCATATTGAATTTAATCTAACCTTATTTCATGCTCGCAAAGGACGAAAACAATCGGCAGAATCTTTGTTATAAAATGCCAAGCCGACAAGTACCGTAAAAAGTAAAGTATCCGTTATTTTTTTCGAATTCTTTGGAAAAGAAAAATAATTTTTTTTATTTTACTCCGTGACGAATTTTCTTTATCTTTTTCGAAAGTGGTATTTACGATCATGAAACAGTAAGGTCAATAATACGGGGGGAAAAAAAAAAGAGGATAAAAAAATGTTGGAAGGATTTCAGCAGGAGTGCGGCACACACTGTGCGGGCGAGTGGAAGTTTCTCGTCTGGAGAGGCATAAATTAGCCTCGACAAAAGCCGGCGGGCGGCATTAGTGGATTAAAATATTACGTTCGAACGTTCCCGTTAACTTTCACGAGCGCAATTAATATATAGCCTCGCGTTGCCGTAATGGCCTGTTGCAATTCACGGCATTAATATCTGTCGGCGTCGCGCCATTAGTACAGACCGACCGTGAGCGCGCGGCGGGTTAGTGTTGCATGATCGTTGCATTTTAATTACGGCGGAACATCTGTTCGGTGGACGTATCAGTCGACGAGAAATATCGCTTCTCTATACGTTAATTATACCGAGTGCATCATCGTGACCACTTTGAGCCGGGAGATGCGCGAAGGCGCCGATATTAAATTCCCGCACTTACACGCTAATGACGTCTGTATCGGGCAATAGCATATTGATTACATCTTCCTCGGTGCATTTCGCTTTCTTCATTAAAAAAAAAGAAAGAAAAAGGAAAAAAAATGAAAAAAGAAAAAGAACAGGAAGATAGAGAAATTTCGCGCGGATGATTATCAAACATCGTTCCGCATCGATGTGTGTATTTCAGATTCGTAGAAACTATAACGCGTGCACATAAAAATATCCTGTTATATAATTAGCATAATTCATAAATAAAGATTATGATTATTCACGTTTTCATATTTAGATTTAGAATTAATATCTGCGAATTTATCATTGTTAGTGGAAGTAATTCTATTTCAACGAGGTTGGTTGGTACGTTAAGAAAAAATCTGGGAACAGCGTCGTTTATGTAAAAAATTTCTCGATAAATCAAAAGGGCAGGCGTTTCGTGGAATAAGTTTGTCCGACGCACCCTTTATCCATGTCACTTCTCGCTCGGCAAAAGAGTGACGCGGCGCTCACAGATTGCGGTTTGCGCGTCATTAATTGGACTTGCCTCCATCCAGACGCGTCACATGCCAAGTTTCGAGGGTTGTCAGATCGTATATTGCAGTGTAGCAGTTAATCGAAAATCACCGACGCTATGTATTCGAAAAGAGGTCGATCAAGTGATCAGATTCGCGACCGACAAATATTAATTATTACCGAGTCAATTAATACTAACGGTTGCAACAGTGCAACATTGTGTTCATAAATATAAGAAAGTTCGTACACATCAATCAACGTTAGGCTCAATCTACTAGGTTTCGAAATGATACAGAACATAATGCGAAAATTTTCATGTTGAAAAATGCAAGTTGGCTTGATTTTATAAATCATTAATTTTTCAAAAACAATAAAAAATGATTACATTGACATAAATTTAATACGTAAAACCTATTTTATTTTGCATTACTTTGAACAAAAGTTAAAAATTATATAATGAGTGTCTTTACTTTAAAAAAATGTCTACATTCTAGATAAATTGAGAAAAAAAAAAAAAATTTTTTTATATGACTCGTATCAAAGGTGAAAGTATAAACAAAGCTCTACTAATCATTTCCCGACATTAATATTACATCCAGAATCATATAACTGCAAGTTTTATTTTATATTTTCTATATTTTGATTTCAGCTAGATGCGAAGAAAAGTCCGCTCGCACTACTCGCACAGACTTGCAGTCAGATAGGAGCGGACCCACCGTCCAGCAAATCGTTATTAAGTTCCTTGGACAAGACATCGAGTAACAGATCATCCAAAACTACGGAGCAGTCTCGTGAGAAATCCTCGCCGACGATAACGGTGTCGGCCACGCTGCCGACGCCGACAAGCGAATCCACGAAGACCAGTTTCAAACCGTACGAATCCTGCCTGGGACGTGAGAAAGCGTGCACGCCGGACGAGTCGCGATCGACGTCGAGCCACTCGACATCCGGACGATCGAGAACACCCGGCAATAGCGGCAAACGATGCTCGAGCAATCAGAGTGCCGCGTCGACGCGCGCAGTCACGCCGCAAGGTAGGAAAACGGCAACACCAAATGGCGAAATAGCGCGGGACTCGCCGGCTTCGAGAAGTTCGGCGCCTTTAGTGCCATCGAGCACAGCGGACGCTACCACGAGTCAACCAACCGTGAGCAGCCCCTCGTTACAAGTCAAACCCGCCTACAGTCCCGTCAGCGTGCTCGCTATGGCCGATCCATCTATCAAGGATCTCCCATTGGGCACGTTCAAGCCCGGCGTCAGTCTACCAGCCTCCACCGCCGCCTACTTGGGCTACAGCCCCGGTCAACTGCCCATCGACGTGATGGCCAATTCACTCATGTCTCATCACGCCGCTCTGAAGAACGGTATCAATCCCTATCTTTACGCGCGATTGAAAACCACCGGCGGACCCGCGGACACCCTGATGCCAATATGCCGCGATCCCTTCTGCACCGGCTGCCAACTGAACTCGCACCTACTGTCGAGCCCTGCAACGGCCGCGGCGGCGGCGGCGGCGGTGGCCAACATCGCCAATGGCAAATTGCCATCGGGCACAAGCGCGACACCGGGTTCCTGTCCGGCTGGGTGCGCTCAATGTGATCACAAACCCGGCAGCGTTTCGCCCTACGGGCCGCTCGGCGCGGTTTACGCGCACGCGCAGCTAGCCGCGTTAGCCGCGGGCACGCAACTGCCCTATGTGTGTAACTGGATGTCGGGCGATACCGCGTTTTGCGGAAAGAGATTCGGCACGTCCGAGGAACTGCTGCAACATCTCCGAAGTCATACGAACGTGTCGGCGAGCAGTGCGACCGATCCCACGAGCGCGGCGGCGGCCGCGCTGTCCCTGCTCCCTGGACCACCCCCGGCGCTGCATCCGACTCATCCTCTGTTCGCGAGGTCTTACCCTACGCCGCCCTTGAGCCCGCTCGCCACCGCGCGCTATCATCCCTACGGAAAGCCCTCGCCGCTCTTAGCACCATCTCTGTCGACGCTCGGCCTGCCGCTTCCGCCGCCGCCGCCGCCGCCGCCACCGCATCCTCACGCGACTGCCGGACTGGCGTATTTCTCGCCGTATTCCATCTACGGGTCTCGTCTAGGCGCCACTTCCGGAATGCATCAGTGAGTTGTCGGCAACGAACATTCTCCTGAGTCTGAGTTGTAGCTCGCGAGATAAATCGAACCGACCAACTGTGATTCTACTACGGATTCGAGTACGTGAACGAAAAGCATCAATTTTATTATATGCGATGCTTTTGTCACAGAGCCTCGTAAGGAAACTGAAGTCATAGAAACGGATACCAGAGCGGTAGGAATGTTTTTCTCGATTATTACGTGATAGTACACTCGATGCGTCTTCCGCAAGCTGTATGCTAAGATGTTTTTTACTTTATAATTGAAAATTTAACATAGAAGATTCGAAAGTAATATGCATATGAAACATTCTCTAATTATCCTTAGGTGCAAATTGTTACTGTTTCGATAGCAAACAGATTTGGTATATTTTATAGATATTAAAACACTCTACTAATTCTTTTTTTTTTTTAAATAGATCTTGATGGATACTCACAAATTGTATTCAAATGTTCTACTCTGCGAGTACTATTTTCGATAAGAAGTAATATACTATGTCTGTATGTTTTATTCTCAAAAAGATAAAATATCGTCGTTATTGCGAATGCCTACCTCAGCAGGAGTAATGATTCAACCTTAATGTTGCATTTGAAATACCTTTGGGACGATTAACCCTCATTCAGTAATATTAGATAATAATGTGTGAAGAATAACGAGAAATTTTATGAAATTATAATTTTTTAAATCAATTATAAATATATGTAATAAACATCTTTTATTTTTATCTTAAAATAATTGTCTGTTTTATTTTCCATTTTATTCCATTAAATAATTACATTTATGTGACCTTACTATTTTATAACGAAACAGTTTAATATATATTACAGTGAAATCAAAATATAATGAAAGAAATTTTTCAAATAAACACGGGAAGAACTTTTACCGTACCGTAATTAAACCGAAGGACTCTCTCAGGTACTGCATTCCATGCGATCATATTCTGTTCGAGGGTTAAACGCCTAATGCAAACGTCATTGTCTGCTTTTGTCTGCTATTCAGCGCTATCATTCAGATCTGTAATTTTCTTACATTTATCACCAAGAGCATCGAGGGACAAATTGCTGCGTATCAGTTTAGGCCAGAAGTGAATTTATGACGAAGCATTATATCCGCATTAAACGATAGTATACGCGTCAGAAAGATCGTACTTTTGGATGTGTGCAATTTAACAGTGCTATTAAACTAAACTCTCGGAGAGCTGACGATATTTAAATTTACAATTAAAAGTTGCGTGACGCGCGCGAGAATAAATTTTCGATACTTATTCGTTTTTTTGTCCATCTGTTCTGTCGGACGTACCTCTCAGTATCGGATG